TCTGGCTGTGAGCCCCGCCCCCGCCAAGCTCCTCCCCAACCCCGTTGGTCCTCCCTCTTCGACGGCGCCCTCCCCGCTGCCCGGCCGCTCTGCCGGGTCCCTGGCCCGGGTAAGCATCTCCTAATTTTGTTCTAGAAGATAGAAAACTCTTCGTGGGCATGCTCAATAAGCAGCAGTCCGAGGACGACGTGCGCCGCCTCTTCGAGGCCTTCGGGAACATCGAGGAGTGCACCATCCTGCGCGGGCCGGACGGCAACAGCAAGGGTGTGTGCGCGGGCGTGAGCCAGGAAGGACGCCGGCGCTGGCCTGGCGTCCAGGAGGGGAGGGCCGTGGGTCTGTCTCTACCTCCCCTTCCCACTTTGTGGTCCTCTGGGACACCGCCCCAGCCCTCTTCTCTGCGTCCTGGGGCCACGGCTCAGCCAGTCCTGTCCCCGCAGGGTGCGCCTTTGTGAAGTACTCCTCCCACGCCGAGGCGCAAGCCGCCATCAACGCTCTACACGGCAGCCAGACCATGCCTGTGAGTGTGGTCCTGGGGTGCGGGCGGGGTCACAGTCTCTGAGACTGGACAGCATCACCCTTGCCACTGTCTCTCAGACCAGGACTCTGAGGCCCAGAGGTAGATTGAGGTCACCTAGATAAAATAATGCCCACGGTGGGGTCGAGACTTGGTCTCCCTGGGTGAGTGCTGACGCTATCCTCAGTATAGCACCCCACAGAGAGCGCGGTGGGAGGGCAGGCCAGGGCTGGGGTAGAGGCTGGGGCAGGAGGGTCTCATGTGCCGCCCTGGCTGCAGGGAGCCTCCTCCAGCCTGGTGGTCAAGTTTGCAGACACTGACAAGGAGCGCACGATGCGGCGGATGCAGCAGATGGCTGGCCAGATGGGCATGTTCAACCCCATGGCCATCCCCTTCGGGGCCTATGGCGCCTATGCTCAGGCAGTAAGTGGGGGCAAGAGTGGGCGGGGCTGTTCTGGAGCTCATTCTCCCCCAACCCCAGAGAGCAGGGATGCCTACCTAGACACACTACTCTGTCCTCCAGAGTGAAGAGAGTCAGGCATAACCCCAGCAGGACAGCTTCAGAGGGAGTTAAGGGGAGGATGGTTTAGGTGTGTGTGTGGTGGGGGGTGTACTGCTGTCCAGGCTTTCAGAAAAGCTCCAGGGAAGGCCCCTTGTATGGTAGCAAGGTGGGTTACCCCTGCACCCATCCCCTGTAACCAAATCAACAGGAATGCTAGAAAGCAGTGATGCGGTGAGGTTCAGGTGCTTGGTCCTCACCACACCAACCCCATTCACAGAAGGTTGTCCCCAGACCTCTGGCCACTCCTGTCAGGGTCCTGTGAAGTGATCCAAAGCCTCCCATACCCACACTTCTCCTGTAATTTCCTTGGGCTCTGCCTCAGGTCTGTAGCCCACCAACTTCCTTCCTCCACAATTGTACTCACTGACACCATCACCCTCTGCTGTCTTCAGACCTGTAACCACTGTCCCCACGTGGTGACCCTGAGATCCACTAGGGTTCTGGTTCTCAACCTTGAAGCTCCTCTCATTTCCTGAACAGTCTGGCTTTGGTGACTTCTACCACCACTGTCCCTACTCACCTTTGGAATAATATTTCTAGGGAGTCTAGTCATGATTCTCCTGTCTCTTCCATGTGACAGTGTTGAGCAGAAATTCGCCCTGTTAACTGTCTAAAGCCCATCCAACATGTCTGTAGGAACTGGTTATCAAACCCCACAATACGATGCGTAACCCAGGCTGCCTCGAAAGCATGTAGTCAATCCCTTTCCCTCACCCTGTACAACTTAGAATCCCAAAGGGCCCACTGTTCTTTTTGCAAGCAGTTGTCTCCCAGGGAAGTGGTCTTAATAGTGATGGAGACTAGGGCAAACATGGGGGAGGCCTTGGAGCTCTGTAGAGGTAGTGACCAAAAGACTGTCCCAGTTCCTGGGGTTCAGAGCCTGGGAAGCCAGTCTCCAGGAGCTGAGCCCCTTGGTGGGGAGGGCTGCCCCCTGGAAGCGCATGATATTTTTTCCACTCCCTCTGCCCCAGCTGATGCAGCAGCAAGCGGCCCTCATGGCTTCGGTCGCACAGGGAGGCTACCTGAATCCCATGGCTGCCTTTGCTGCCGCCCAGATGCAGCAGATGGCAGCCCTCAACATGAATGGCCTGGCCGCACCCATGACTCCAACCTCAGGTGAGCCAAGGGGTTTCTGGACTGACAGAAGCATAGCAAGGCCCAGGCTGGGCTCATTACAGAAACCAGTGCATCATTCAATGCTAAGAGCACATGGGGCCTAGGCCCAGTAGTACTTGTCCTCTGGTAGTCTGTCTCCAAAATGTTCTATTCCATGGCAACCTAAAGGAAGTTGAAATGTGGGCCCGTGAAATCCACAATAGGGTTTCAGGGTGATAATAGTTTCTTTCAAGTTGTCTATACTTGTTGAAACAGTTCATTTTGATCTGTATTTAATTATTGATGTCTGGAAAGAAACTGACATGAAAGCCTTCCAGTTCATGGTCCAACACAGCCCTGCCTGTTGCCTTGACCTTTCCCTTTATGCCAACCGAAGTGCATTGGCCTTTTCCAGGTCAACTATGTACCCAGCTAGGGAACCACGTGTCATCTGGGGATGGGCTGGAAACAGCCCAGCTTATAAAACACGTTTTGGATTGGTTTTTGGCTGCTGCCCAGTACAGTTTTGCCTCCCACCTGTAGGATCTCAGGTGGTGTCCATAGACATTTTTGTTTCCCATAACTGGAAGGACAGAGTGCTACTATTAGCTAGTGTACAGAGGCCGGAGAGGTGCTGCTGTACAGCTCCCCACAAGGAACTGACTCCAAATGAGTATAATGTCAAAACTGAGAAACTCTTGCCTTAGGCCCAAGCATAGGCTGACAGGCTGGACCATCCTCAACCAAGCCCCCTTGGCTCTCTGCCAGACTGTAGCGGTGACCGTCTTATGCTCACATATTCCTTTCCCAGCTTAAAGCCACAAAAGACTGAGCTATCCTTGGGCCCAAGTTGAGCAACATTCTATTCCTTAGATCTGGTTCCCAATCGCAGGAACATTCATGGGTCTGGAAAGTGGGTCAGCCTTGGGTCCTTGTCTTCAGGGAGACCATGAAGCCCATGAAGACAATGAAGAGGAAGGCTCTGCTCTCTTCAGCCTTTGGGGCCTCAGCACAATCACTATGCCATATACATTTTGGGCTCCATCACCTGGAATAGGGAAGCCACAGGGTATTGTCATCTGTCCCCATCTTTATCACCACCACGATGACAACCACCACTGCTTCTGCTGAAGGAGGCCAAGATGAGGCTGAGATTGGACTCTGAAATTAGCTTTCTCTCTCAATGCAAGTAACTAGAATTCTCCTCCACCTGAACAGTAAAACTTCTTGGAGAGGCAGATCAGTCTCTCCTGAGTCCAACAATGACCAGCTCATCCTGATTTAGCAGGAGTGAGTGAGAGTCACTGACAAAGAATGAAGGGCCATGTGTGGTGAAAGTCAAGGGCCCTGATAATGGTCTGTGTCCTCTAGGTTCAAGGACAGCCATCAGTGGTCAGAGAAAGCTTCATGGGGTAGGGGATACTTGGGCTCTGCCTTGAAGAGTGGATACATTGGGAGGGATGAAGCCATTCCATACAAGAAGATAAGTTCACCAACAGGACAGAGTGGCTGGGGAGCCCCAGTCTGTCTCCAGGCCCTTGGAGCCTGCGGGGTAGAGCTCCATGGGTTAGGGTTCCTGACCTTTGCTATCCTTACCTTCTCCCTCCCCTAATTCTTCTGTGTTCTTGAAACCAGGTGGCAGCACCCCTCCAGGCATCACTGCACCAGCCGTGCCTAGCATCCCGTCTCCCATTGGAGTAAACGGCTTCACCGGCCTCCCCCCACAGGCCAATGGACAACCTGCTGCAGAAGCTGTGTTTGCCAATGGCATCCACCCCTACCCAGGTAAGCACATATGGTAACCTGTCCTTCCCCATGCAGCATACACCGTGTCCATTCTGCTCTCGCCCATGCTGTTAAAAGAAAGAATGCACTGCTCTGGTCCTCTGTTACTTGGTAGAATGCCAAATGTGATCAGAGAGGGCCAGCCATGCTCCTGCCTCAGGGAGCCTATGGTGGGAGAGAAATGACTACAATCACAACCTTGGGGAGTGCCTGTCTGATCAGTGAGGAGAAATAATTCCATTCCAGGGGCTGTATTCAAGAAGAAAAGACACCAGATGCAATTGTACAACCCAGGCAGAGAGAGGCTAGTAACTGCAAATTAATTGAGTGTGAATTTGAGCTATAATAACTAGGAGAATATTGCTAAAAGAATGATCACATTTAGTTAAGTAAGAAAAGACCCACTGGGGGAAAGAACTGGGGTTATATTGATTGGCAGTCCAGCTATTACATCCCAGCCCAGGGTCTTGGTACACACAAAATAGGTCAGCACCCAGGACAGCTCCTGGACAGCAACCAGCTTCTGGGCCTACCACAGCTCCGGGGCCTGCACTGAGAAGTGAAACAAGGAAAAAAGTAAGGTCCTTTCCTGACTGACTGACTTTGCTCCCTTCAAAATCAATTGTCCTCACATGGCAAGAGCAGTTGTCCTGCAGAACCTCTTCCCTCTTATCTGAAGAATGACAGATGCCAGGGCAGGGAAGCAGGGCCAGAGCCCCTGACTAGCAGAGGGCATCATAATAGCGATGTATGGAGCACTGCCTTTTCCAGAGGGCAGGGGATGAAGTTACAGTGCCCATATAAGGGTACAGCCTTCACTAGATGACAGGAGGCCAGGACATGGGATTGTTTCCTAGGAGGTCAAAGTTCAGTCAGGAGCACAATATTCACCTTTAGCCTTCATCCTTAAACAACACACCTGAAGGACAAAGTCTGATCAAGAGGGAAGGTTCTCTGACTCAAGATGGTAAAGGATTCAAGGGAGAAGAGAGTTCTACAGGCTGGAGAACACCTGAGAGCCTTCCCGAGGAGGCTCTCAGGTGAACTTTAACAGATGGTCAGGAAGTGGGGAAATGAAGATGAGCAAGGAGCAGATTCTAGGGTGGACTACCCTGGGAGACCCAGGGGCAGGAAGAGGCCTGCCTAGCAGGGGCAGGAATGGAAGGTGGTTGGTCCTGGAGGGAGAAGGAAGCTGGTCTGTGGCAGACCCCAGGAGGGGCAGTTCAGGCTCCCACTCTGGGTGCTTATCAGAATCCACTATGGTTCTAGATAAAATCCAGATGCTCAGATTTCACTCTTTGGCGGGCAACTCAGACATCTGTAGTATATAAACATCGTACCAACAGCAGAGTGTGAGGTCACTGTGCTAGAGAGGACTAGGAGGAGAGAATTTCCTAGCTCTGAGGTTGGAGTTGTTCGTATTCCCTGGAGGTTGCGCTTACCCTAGAGCTCAACCCTCAGTCCACAGAGAACATTCACAGGGGTCTAGGTCGGGACTTGGTAGGGCCCAGAGGATCTGGTGAGCTGTTTAAGCATGGAGACCCTGCCTAGTACAGGTGGTCAGAGAGGGCTTTGACATGCTGGAGACAGAAGTGACCCTGACAGTGTCAGGCCTGTGGGTTAGGAGTACCACCCAGCACACTGGGAGTCTTCTTTCTCCACTCTTCTTCCTTCTGAGCCCATCTGGATCTTTGGATTCCTTCTCTGTACCCCCCAGCATCTGTGAGTCATTTCCCTCATGGAAACTTGGAAATGTTTTCCCCCCCATTTGTAACAATCTGCCACATCCCATAAACAATTCCCTGCCACAGCCAGAGAAGGGATGGAGGGAAGGAAAGGGGAAAAGTAGTACATTAAAAAAATTAATTTACCATCTTTAAATGTGGGGTTTGGAGCTACCGTAATGAGCGAGATCCTTCAAAATGTTCACTCTTTGGCAGTTACTAATGAGGTCGTTAAGCAGAGAAGCGGAGAGGGGTCTCCTGGATGCTTTCCTCCACTTCCGAGCCCCAGTAGCTCCTCCGTTCTCCCCCTCTTGCTCATGGGCATGTAAGAAACACACAGTGTGGCCTTTGTGATATGGCCACAGGCCACAAAAGACTGCCTCTGCAAGCAGCGAAGCCCGTCGGTTATTCCTCCCCAAGCGCATTTGCTGAGCACTTCCTGTGCTCCCAGCACGCCGCCGACACTGTCGTGCTAGGTGTACAGATTGTTTTGTGCCTCTTCTGATGTACATAAAGGCATGGGTGAGCAGTTGGGAAGACCAAGAGGGCAAACTAGATGTGGCTGTTAGTCTAGGAACTCAGAGGGCAGCAAGGGAGACAGGTAGAGGGAGCCAGAGTCAGGAGGAGGTTGCTCGGCTAAACACATCACAGCTTGGAATTCTCCGTTCCAGGCTCCATCGTTAGATACGCAGGAACAGGGTGCTGGGCTACAGCCACAGGCAGGAAATAGCCTACACCAGAACCGTTCTTCAGCTTTCCCTTCTAAGCAGAGCCTGAGGGGCCAGCTTCTCTGCTGTGCCCAGTCCCTAGGGGCATCAGATCTGTTGCCCAGTTGTTTCTAGGGACCTCTGCCCCAGGCTTTCTCCTGGGCTCCTCTGAGGCCTAGGTACTCTGTTTCCCAATGGAATTTACCAAAAGGCACACAGATAAGAGCTCGGAGGAAAGATTGGGAATTAGGTCCAGTCTAAAGCCCCAAGCCTGAAAACTAGTTAGCTTGACTGGTCTAGATGGAAGAGTACATGAGCCCAGGAGCTTAGGGTCAACCAATTCACTCCATAATGGGGCTGGATCCTCGCTGTGTGTCAACAGTTATCTCTATTCATGTCCCTGGGTCAGCCCACTCCTTGTATCAGGTATCACTGGACTTGGTAGCCAAGGGCTACAGCCACTGCTGGGTGGTGCCGCAGTCTTCTGCCCAGATCTCAGCAACAACAAAGGCCAGGGGCAAAGCAAGTATTTCCCCAGCCAAGCTTCCCTGAGCTTCTTGCTAACTTTTCTGTTTAAGGCTTCTCTCCACTGGGAGGTAGAAAGCCCAGAGTTATATGTCAGTGTGCAGGGGAAGATCCTGGGTTTTCTGGCATCTTGGTTTCAATGGGCAGTATCCTTTTCCCAGCCTGATGGGCAGACCCAAGAGGGCAGAGTGGCAGGGTGAGACCTCCCAGGGTCTTTCTTTTGCTTAGACAGAATCTTCCAGGTGTTTGTTCTTTCACTGCCCCTACCTTCTGCTGGGGATCGGTGAAGAGAAGCCCTTCGCCTGAGAGCCCCTAGCTCTCCAGTTCCTCTCCAGGTTGGATTCTAGGTATCTCCCCACCAAGGCCCTCATGAATGCGCTCCCTCTGGCATCTCTTCCCACACCTCACACGCTTTTCCATGAACCCATTTCACTCCCACCTGAGGCCAGCTGCACCCTGCACCTCCCAGCCAGGGTGAGCAACTCTGCACCCACTAAGGGCTCTGAGTGCAGACGGGAGACCTCCAGTGAAACCCAGCATTCAAGGTGCCTATCTCAACTGCTCCACCCCAGGGCCAGCCCACGGTGACTAGAAAGGGCGGCACAGCCAGTGTTGTCCCCTTGGGCATGGTGGGGGGAGGGGCTAGTCTGTGTGTGTGCCATTGACCTCTGTCCTCTTGGCTCCCTGCAGCACAGAGCCCCACCGCGGCAGATCCCCTGCAGCAGGCCTACGCGGGAGTGCAGCAGTATGCAGGACGTTAGTATCCACATGGCTCCTTGGCGCTTTCCCTGGCTCTTCTCATCTCTCCACACCCCAGCCCCAGGGACCCCTTCCTACCCCATACCTGGTCCCTGCCCTGCGTGGGGAGGAGAGGGAGCAGTGGGGGCTGTAGGTGGAAGGAGGGAGAGAGTTGTGCTGGCTGAGATACCCTGTCCTCTGTCGTCTGGGCTGTCCCTTTCCTTAGGTTCCCTACATGACTGGTGACCTGACATGGGGCAGGGGGTGAACTTAATGAACTGGGGAGAGGACTGAAGCTTTGGCTTTGCTGTGCAGTGACTTGTCTGACTTTCTGTTCCCATGATACTAACTGGCATGGCCAGTGTTCCAGGGCGTACCACGCTACACAGCAGCACAGGGGTAAGGGTGGGCCCAGGCTGCTGCCCTGTACAGTCCGTGGTCCCTGACCCAAGAAGCAGAGGCCTGGGTTTGAGAGGAAGAGGGACTCTGAAGTGGAAGCAGATTTTCCTACTAGGCACATGAAACAGAGTGCAGAAGTGAGGCAGCAAACTGGACAGGCAGGTGGGAAGAGAGCCAACAGGGGTGTCACAAAGCCTAGTGCACTGTCAGCCAAGCCTCTCCTTCGTCCCACCACTGGGCAATAGTTCCTTGTCATCCCTGCCCAGCCTGCACTCACTGCCTAGCTGGCTAGGGCTCCCCTTGGCCTGGGAGAGCTTGCATTGCCTCCTCTGAGGGTGATGGGGCTGGCTAGGTACAAGTTCGGGGAAATCAGTCCTGCTCAGATTAGCCAAGAGGAGACTCTCACCTTTGGGTTCCCTCCAGCTCTGACCTCAGGCCCTGTTACTTCGGAAGCTAAACTGGGCTGTGGAAAGAGCCATACCTGGCCACACCCTTTTCCAACCAAATACAGAAAGCATCAGGTTTGTCCAGTTCAGCCCTGTGCCCCTAGCCTCTCCCCTAGGAAGCCACATCCACACCCCAGGCCCCAGGCGGCACCTCACCTCCCAGCCAGGCACTGTCTGTCTGAGTGGGAGTAAGGATGGGTCAGCCACGACTGTGCACTCTTCCAGATTAGACTTGTCTGTCCCGGGGGTACACACATGTGCACACAGACCTGCATGCATGCAGGCATCTGACATATACCCTGCTTCTTCTCCTTCATGGAAATGCCAGACTGAAAGCTGCCTGCCTTCTCTGCAGTGGCTGAGCTGCCGTGTGCCTTGTGGCTGGTGGCTCTTTCTGCTGGACACTGACAGCTCTCTCTTTCTCCCTGCCTCTCCCCGTCTGTGTTTGTATCCTGCCGTCATCATCCATTTCCTCTTCGACTCTCCAGCAGCTGCCTACCCCGCTGCGTATGGACAGATAAGCCAGGCCTTTCCTCAGCCACCGCCAATGATTCCCCAGCAACAGAGAGAAGGTGAGTCTTGGCCCTTCCCCTCCCCACTCCCTACAGAGGCTGCTCACCTGGGCCTCTGGCCTCCTCAGGCTTCTGAGGAGGGGACCTCGGTTAGAAAGGTAGCACTGCTGTGTGCCTAGAGTGGATGGGAGGACAGCAGGGTTGGGGGACGAGGTGCTCTCCTGTTCCCTCGAGAAGGTGTGCATCTTGTGGGCAGCTCTGCCAGCCAAAATGGCCTGGCTGAGGGGCAGGTGATCAGACATAATGCCCAGGGGCCAACAGGCCAGGCATATGGCATCCTCCCCACTCTCCTTCATCATTTCCCACTGATCTGACACAGCTCACATGCTAGTACCTTGGCGTTTAAAAAAAAAATGATCCTTGAGAAGGGTCCTGTTCCTTCTATAGCAAGCCTTTAAACAGCTCAACAAGAACCCAGCAGAAGCTAAGGGTGTGTTTGTTTGCTGCTAAAGGCCTTGCCTCTGCCCCAGGGAGTTCCCAACCCTGTGAAGGAGATAGAGGCCCATCCCCGCAGTCTTCATCTGAGTCCATCCTCTGTGTTCCTGAAGAGTGTGAGAGCAGAGCTGGAGGTGAGGTGATTTTTGCAGCACCAGACCTGATTGCTCTGGGCATTGAGAAGGAAATGGTGACTCGCCCAAGATAGGGAAGTGAGGTGCTGCAGGGAGTGGAGTCCACCCACCTTCCCTAAAGGGCAGGACTTGGCCAGTGGGGCAGACAGGAAGAAATAAGTACTCATGCCTGGAGGAGCCCAGGCAAAGGAGGGTAGTTCATCCTGGACAGGAAATGTGTACTCTCTAGGTAATCAGGAGAGAAAGAGAGACTCCAAGGGTGGGATGAGGTGTGGGATGGATGCACTGCAACTGAAGTGAAGAAGGGCGCCCTGGAAAGCTGTGTGCAGAAGTCTGAGTGTCAACAGAGCAGGACAGTCTAGACCCGAGGGCTTGGTGGGGACTGCAGGGTGAAGCTCATCAGCCTCCTTCCCAGCGCCTACAGCCACAGAAGCATCAAGCTAAAAAACTGCATGAGCAAGCCTCCCATGGCCAGCTGAGCTAGACAGCAGGGACACCGACAAAGCCTGAGGTCCTTACCTGCCTTGGAAGAGTGGCCTGTAGCAAGGCCACTGAATCTGTCCCAGACTCCATGTGGCAGGTTCTAATGGTTTCTAAATGCCAGACTGTGGCCTCTGAGGCAGACTGTACCAGGGCCATGGGGTTTAGGTTACACTCAAAGGTCTTTGGGCCCCTGCTGATCCAAATTCTTTTGGTGAGAGGCCCCAGCAGGCTCTAATCCCTGCGTGGCTGAGAACATTTTGAAGCACATCCTCTAGGTCTGACTCTCAGCTTGGCCACCTCCCCCACAGGTGACTCTGGACAAGTCACACTGCCCCCTCACCTATTTAGTAAGGACAGTGAGAACTATTCCTTAGATGGCTGTGAGGATCATACTTGCTCAGGTCTGGACCCCTCCCCAATGCAGCAAGTGTCTGCATACAGCCCTTCTGTACCCAGTTGCCACCTCCTCCACAGCCACTCAGGGATACCACCTCTGCCCCCACACATCCGACAGTTCTGAGGCCCACACTGACACATCTCCCCATACCTAGAACTCAAGAGGTGCATCATAGGCTTTGCGCATTCCTTGCCTCCATGCCCTGCGTAAGCTGAATGCCTCCATCTGTAAGCTGGGAGCAGTCCCTCAAGCCCCACCTCCTCCTCTGAACCCTTCCCTGGGCTGTGGCCTGGGGCTGCCCTGCTGCTTCCTTCCTCAAGCCCAGGCCTTCCTCAGTCAGGTCTGAGCCATGGGAGCTGACCAGGAGTCCCCAGTGTTGTTGATCGAGCGCTATGCCCACAGCAGAGCGCTATGCCCACAAGCCCTGCTGCCTTTGTCACTTGCTTGCATTTGACTATACTCAGAATCCTGCAGCAATTTGTACTACAGGTCTGAGTCTAAACTTTGCTCTTTGCTACACACACACACACACACACACACAGAGAGAGAGAGAGAGAGAGAGAGAGAGAGAGAGAGAGAGAGAGAGAGAGACCTGCAGCCTGGCCCAACACACATGACAGCCCTCACTGCTGGCTGTTTCTGCCCCTCCCCCTTCCCCTCCCCCTCCTCGTCCCCTCACCTCCCACTCTGCCATCCTGCCCTTCTCATACCTTTTCTAGCTCTGAAAAACCTTGACCATGCCCTGTTCCCTGTCCAATGGGACAGTCCTCAGTCTATTCCTGTCCTTGGAGCAGAAGTTTATGCCCATATCCCTTTCTCCTGGCCAAGCTACCCTGGGGGAGCAGGGTATAGGGAGAAGTGGGACAGAAACACAGAGCCTAACAGAGCCATGTTGCCTACACAGCTGAGGTCATGGCATTGGGAGTGGATCGCTGGGGAAAGCTGAGATGGGCTTGAAAGGAGGAGGACTCTAACACATAGAGGTGGGGGAGGTGGGTGCTCCAGGCAGGAAACACCAGGAGCAAAGTGGGCTTTGAAGGATGAGGTGAGCCTGGGACCCAGGAGACAGAAAGGTGGGCTGCAGCCAGGCAAAGCCAGGTCCCACAGTCTCATACGGATCTTGGATGGGAAAGAAGGCTGTACTCCACCTGCCCTGCATGGCCATCTTCCCGTGCACTACTGCTGAGTATCAGAACACGCTGGTAGCTGAGACGGACTCTCCTACCAGCTCCTGGTCCTTGAGCTGAGCCTGAAAACCACCAGATTGCTGAATCTCCCCTACCTTCAGGCTACCTATTCCACAGATGGGACAAGGGGCTCTGTGGGAAGGCTGTGGCTACAGCTCTGCATGCGACTATGTGTGCTCAGGGTAGTTGCTTTCCGTCTCTGAATTTGCATGTCCCCACCATTGCTCTGGGCTGGACCAGATGGCCCTCTGGAGTCCTGCCTGCCTTGCCCTCCTGTCTGGACATTCTGTGGGCTGTGAATGAAGCAATGCAGAAAGGGCCGGGGTGCAGGCTCGCAGTGCAGAAAGGGCCGGGGTGCAGGCTCGCAGTGCAGAAAGGGCCGGGGTGCAGACTCACTGTTGAAGGTAGGGCAGGCGCTGCTCCCGACTTCCCAGCTAGAGTGGGACAGGAGGGCTGTCCTGGCACTCACTCAGCTACACCAGGCAAATGGAACCGAGCTGGTGGCCTGAGAGCCTGAGTCTCTTTAGGGAGAACAGATATGATGGCCCCACAGAGCAGCCTACAGAGCTTAAATCTGGAGTGAGGGCACCGGTTCTGAGGCAGTTGTCAGCATGGAGTACATAGAGCAGAGCCACCAGGGAAGACCGAAGAGTAAGAATGAGAACAGGATCCCTCCTGTCCTGAGCATTCGACAGCCTAGAGGGAGATGTGGGTGGAAGGAGGCAGATGGCCCTGCTGTAGGGGGTGAGCATGTTGGAGAGAAGACCTTCCAGATGTGCAGAGGAAGCCCAACCCACAAAGGACGGGATAGACTTGGGCTACCATAAGGGAGAGGCCAGGGGAAGTCTCAGGGAGACAGGCTTCTAGGGGAGCACTGGAGGGGTGTGACTTAGATTGGGCCCCAAACTTGGCTTCTCCCTCAAAGGGACTCCCACTTCACTGGAGACCATCAAGGGGTGCATTTACCTGGCATGTATCAGCCAGAACATAGCATGGTTGGAGGGATAGGGTAAGGGGAGTGCCATCAGAGCTTGAGTCGGGGTGAGGGAGCACACCTGCGCCTGGTTCTGGATGCGTCGTCCACTGGCAGAGTTCCTGTGGGGAGGGGACACCAGGGAATGGGGAGGTCAGTGGCGCTGCAGGTGACTTTGGTGGGCAGGGAGTCTTCTCCAGGCTCTGGGCCTGGCGGTGGTGGGCTAGTCCAAAAGAGGAAAGGAGATAGTGGGAGGGACAGGAGAGAACCAGGAGCCAGTTGTTGGTCCCCAGACAGGATGCTGGCAGCCTCAGTGGTCCTGAGTGGGACAGTAGCTTCTGGCTGCCAAAGCCATACAGCTGGTTGTGAGCCATGTTGGCACCTATGCCCTTTGCTTGAGCTCATGCTTAGCCACCACCACTGAAGTGACCACAAGTTGCCTCAACAGTTAAAGGATACATGGTAGATGCTTGTTAAGATGATGGGAAACAGACTTCCATTTCAGAAAATTAAAATTGGGCTTTTTGACCATTGAAAAAGAAACATAAATCTTTATCTGGAAATTCCAGAAATCCAAAGACCCATGGAAACCTGGGGGGTTGTGGTTTATGACGGTCAGATAAGAGCGCACATGATGGCTGCGGCCTGGGTTCATATCCCAGCTCTCTCCTTCCCCCAGCCCACTGTGTCTTTTGGCAGGTGACTTAACCTCTCTGGGCCTCAGTTTCCTCATGTGAAGTGTTGACAGTGTAGCTAAGTCAGAGGGTGCTGCACAGATGGAGTAAATTCCCAAACACATGAAGTGCTTAGGCTAGCTAGACTTATGTTCACGCCATGGAAGCGGCCTGGCTGGAAATGAAGCAGCTTTGGAAAGAGGCTCAGGGGTGCTCCATGTAAAAGCTTGCTATGCCAACGTGCTGGACCAGGCCGGGAAAGTCTTGTTTTCTGTCACTAAGACTAGGAGGGAGTGTGGGGTCTGGGACAGGGCACCTGGGCCTTTGGGGCCCCCTGGGAAGAGCTGCAGGCCAGACAGGTGACCAAGCCTAGGCGGAGGAGGGAAAAAATGTCACTGGCACAGGTGGAAGCTACCTCAAGGCCATTCCTCAGTCCTCCTCAGAGCAGAGGCTGGAGACAAGGGAGGACCCCCAACTATGTGTTCCCCCCTCAGTACCTCACTTCCAGGGACAGCAGATCAGGCCATGGCATATTCATCCCGTTCTCTCATTGACTTTGCTGCCCTCCAGTCCTAGAGCTGCTAGGAGTCCCTATTCCTCATCTTTTTGTTTAAAGATGGCACCACCGAGGCACAGAAAGGTTCAGTGGCTTGCCCAAGGGCAGAGAAGAGATCTGAGCTCACCTTGGGGCTCAGCAATCCCCCACTCTTTGGGGGTTGCTCCTGGATCTTGAACGAACCCCCCTCCTAACCCTGCCCCTCCCTCCCTGCTGCGCTGCCTAACTCGCTCACCTCTCCTCTGTCTCTCTCTTCCCTCACCCTGCCATCCCTCCTCCCCACCCACCCCCTCCCCTCACCGCAGGGCCCGAGGGCTGTAACCTGTTCATCTACCATCTGCCCCAGGAGTTTGGGGACGCTGAGCTGATGCAGATGTTCCTCCCTTTCGGTAATGTCATCTCCTCGAAAGTGTTTGTGGATCGGGCGACTAACCAAAGTAAATGCTTTGGTGGGTAAAGATAACAAACCAATCAGCTTCACCTAGGACAGGGGCTGCTCCCATCGACTTCTCACGTGGTCCTTCACACCGACCCAGGTGCTCCTGGGCAGCCTCTCAGCCCGCTTCTCTGCTCTACTGTCTTTTGGCTTCTCAGATTTCCCTACCCACACTCACTTGACTCCCACCGTCCAACCCAAGAAACAGGTATCCTCTTCCAGCCCCAAAGCCCAGTTCCAGCCTACCAAGAAAGGGATGGGGCCACTTCAGACGGGTGGAGAGTAGCATGCAGAGCCAGAGCTCCATGCATCTTCCCAGAAGCCTCTCATGCTCAGAGGGGCTAGCTTGAGGCCTAGGGTAAAACCCAGTCAGCCCGAGGAGGCCCTGCCCTGCCCGCCCCTCAGCCCTCTCCGCCTCTCTGTCCTGCCACCCCTCCTCTGCCTTCCTTGTTCCTCGCTCCCCTCATGCCATGCAATGATCCCGCCCTCACAATCCCCTTCGGGCCACCAGAGCTGGGCATTGCTGAGGAGCCGGGAGGAGATTACCTCAAGGAGCCTAAGTTCTGAGCTCATGGGAACCACAGCTACCCATCAGCAGTGAGCTCTGCCAGGTGCAAACAATGAAGCAGTAAGGAAGGCAGAGGAAAACCAGAATGGGCAGAGGCACGTGGCAGGGATGAGAAGAGGCACAGGACAGAGGACACTGGGGCTCACGGTGGACTAGCAAGGGAGGTCTGTCCTGGCCTTTGACCACTATGCAAGGAGGCTTTACTTGGTGTAATCAGTTGGTTGGTGGGTTTTGAAGGTGGTAGAACGAAATACATCTTTCAGGCAGTTGGCCTGATGGTAGGGTGCTATATAGGAAAGAGACAGCTTGGGAGGATCCAGGAGACTGGGTATCAGATCAAGTGCAAGATGCCTTTAAATGTGAATTTCATATAAGCAACTGAGGTTTGTTTTTGTTTTTGTTTTTGTTTTTAAGTATGTGACCTAAACATTGCATTATGCATGGCCCATGTAATATTGTGGATATACTGAAAACAAATATTCACTGCTGATCTGAAATTCATCTTTGATTGGGCATACTTTGTTTTATTTGCTAAATCTAGCATCCTTATCCAGAAAAGGCTAGACCCCTTGGGATCCTCCCTCTTCCCTATAACCCCCCTCCCCCCAGTTCCTTCTTGGTTATCCATCAGTGGTCATCTACCAGTATCCTTCTGGGGCAAGATCTACTCATATGCTCCCAAGAACCGAGAGGGCAGTACCCGCAGAGTGCTGCATATGGAGCGAGAGCTGAGTCTGCCAGAGCCTCATGTTGACCCTCATGTTCCGGGTGTGTGGAAAGAGTGGAGGTCTGTGATGGCCAGGGAGGCAGGGCTGCTTGCGGACGGGGGGAGGGGACAAAGCACACAGTGGAGAAGCACCAGGATGGGCGTGCCAAGGAGTTTCCAGTTCAGAATCGTAAAGAGCTTGGGCTTCAGGGCATGTTCCCCAGGGGAGTCAAGACCCTGGCACCACTGTTTTCCACCTGTCTGGCAGATGCCATGGGAAACCCATGGCTTCTCCAGTGGCATGGAGGTAGTCCAGCAGCTCATCACTCTTTGGAGTTGGAAAAACAAAGAAAAAGCAAAAGACGAGGCTGCCTCCCTCCCTGCCTGCCTGACTGGCGTTTCTCTGTATGAATTAAAATGATGGATGTAAAACCAAACTGAAAATCAGTTACAAATGTTATGTAGCACTTCTATGACTCTGTAGCCACATCTCATATGGTTCCCTGGCGGTCCTTCTGGGCACAACCTGGTTTTCAAAGTCATTTCCTCAGTGCCCACCCCAAGAACTACTTGCTTAAGCCCTTCCTTACCCCACTTCTGTTCTTCAGAACCAAGACTGTTTTCCTGGCCATCATCATCTGTACATCTTGCCTCACCTCATTTCTCTTTTCAAACTCAAATGCTAAGACAGGCTCCTGCCATGCTGGCCTGGTCCACTGCCCCTCTTTAAGCCACTTGGGTCCCCTGTTCACTTCTGCAGCAGAACCTTCTGCCCTTCTCCCAGAGATGTTAGTCTCAAACCTCCAAGAGTAAATCACTGAACACTGAGTGTCAGTGCCCTTGTTTGTGAAGCAGGGAAACTGCAGTCACCCATGAGGGATGTTGGAAAGGTCTATGAGAAGGTTAACGTCAGGGGCTTGCCTTGAGTGGACCCTCTGGAAGTACCTGTTTCTTATGGAAAGTGGGTTGCTGTAATCATGGTGCTACACAAACATGCCCTTCTCAAAAGCTGCTTAACTACGTAAGCAGAACTTTCCAGAGGACTTCATAAGGGTGTGTAGCACAAAATGGTTCCTACCTTGGGAGGAGGGTGGCTTGGGTGGAGTAGGAGGATATGCTATCTTCCAGCTTTTCAGTGTTTGGTAGGAACTTCTAGAGGATGGGGTGAGGATAGAGTGAGGATGGGGTAGGGGTCTCTTTCGTGGAAGGGAACAGTCCTGGGAACTGTAAACACAAGATATAGTGCCCAGAGACCTATCCACAGGGTTCCCAGTCTGCAGGCAGATGCTCCCTGCATCTGTCTCGCACTCAGAAGCATTCCTAGGTCCAAGGCTTCCAGAAGGCCCTCAGCTTTTCCAGGAAGCTGGGCTACTTCTTTCCCAAAAACCTCCACCAAGTGACTGTCCCTCCCTTTGACCTCACAGCCCCTGTAGCCCTTTTTCCTCCCTTCTCTCTCTGTGCTTCAGAAAGAGCCACTAAAACCAGGTGTCCAGGTAGGGTCAGCAGAGGTATCCACATGGGAGTGGAGGAATGGGTGCAGCATGGGGCCCACAGTCAAACAGGTTTGGCTTACCCACTTTCCTTAGTCTGAAGACTGGCATTCACACGTCTAAAAAGGGCTCTGGTCTAACAGGAAGGTCAGACACACAGGTCAGTGGAGGGGGATGGGCTGGAGGGGATGCAGGGCTGGGAGCTAACTGCCAGCTGTGGAAAATTCTCTTTCCTGTTTGATTTGGTGTATACATTAATAAGTTGGTTTTGTTGCTCTGGGCCTGACTTTGACTAATTACACATGAATTTGTGTCTGCACGTGCAGAAGTGAGATGCATGTACACACTCCCTCTTCCCTCATCTCTCCTGGCATGTGGCTGCGTGAACAAATTGAGGAAGGATTAGAGAAAGAGAAAAGCGCTGGATAGAGACTGGGGACAGGGTGAGAAGGGAAAAGCCATGAGCTCAGAGAGTGAAGGTGGAGCCGGTAAGGGATGGAGCAGAGGACAGGCCCAGGGCACTGCAGATGCCATGGTATGGCACATGGGGTCTGACACACAGTGATCTCTTATCTGTCTAGTGGCCCTCTGTGGACAAGGCATGTCCTGGGGACAACCTGGGCATGTCACCCAAGCTGGGTTTTAAATAGTTTGAAGAATCTAGGCCCATTTTAAAGAAGAAAGGCCTCTGGAATTGAATGAATTCATGGATGCTCTGTGTGAAACAAAGCTGTAAACGCCCATTTACTGGAGAACTTGGAGCAAGAGGGCTTGCTTTTACTTCTGGTCCTTGTTCCTGCCCTAGTGTCCTGGCTAGAGAGGTCCATTGGGCCCCAGAAGCCCCCTTCTCGTGGGCCGGGTTAGAGAAACGGTGCAGGATGTCTCTATGAGGAAATGCATTCAGGTGACTTCCAAACCCACTGTTGGAACATGATCCAACCCCATCTGGGAACTGAGGCGCAATCTCATCTGCTGGTGTCTGTCTGTCGGGAGGCCTGTGCAGAGTACTCTGCAGTCCAGTAGGCGGGAGGCTCGCAACTGTTTACCCTTCCGGCGTCCACGGCTGCAATCGCGGACCCGGGAAGGGCTGGCGCGGGCCGTGTCCCGTGGGTGCGCGCACCCGGGGAAAGGGCACCGACCCCAGCACGTGCCCTGGGGCGAGGCGGTGGGTGAACGGGGCGGCCTGGGGCGGCCGGGGAGTCGGGCGGAGGGGCCCGGGTCGCACTGCGGGGCGCCGGGCAGGCGGTGGAGCGGCCTCCCCCGACGTGCCCCCTCCCGGGCCCTCGCACTCCTCTCTCTCCCCAGGCCGGCACCCCGTGCCCTCCCGCTGCCAGGCCCCCTCCTGTCAGGGAGGACAGTGTGCAATAAGCTCCTCCGCCCGCAGGTGTGTCCGCCCTCCCCCGCGGGAGGAGAGGGCCCAGGTGCGGGCCGGCCGG